AAATTCTAATTTCTTCAGCTAAAATTGAGGCTTTTAGTGCCTAATTATTGGGAGGATTAAATACAAATGTGTCAAAACACCCAGTGTTTGGTCTTTGCATATAGTAGCTGTTCACTGAGTGAATACCCTAGTACTTTTCACATGAAAATCCTGTACTCTGAAGAGTCATTGCACAAAAATGGCTACCAGACGTTTTTGATGCTGTGCTGTCTTGAATTGAGATGTTTGGTTCCACCCACAGTGGCAGATGCCTGGCGAGCCCTCAAGAATCCCAGCATTGGGGAAAGCAGCATCGAAGGCCTGACTAGTGTGCTAAGCACCAGTGGAAGCCCTACAGATGGACTCAGTGTTATGCAAGGCCCTTACAGTGAAACAGCCAGCTTTGCAGCCCTCTCAGGGGGCACGCTGAGTGGTGGCGTTCTCTCCAGTGGCAAGGGAAAATATAGCAGGTAAGATAAAAGCTAATTTCCAACAGAAACAGTTGGAATTATAAGTGATACTGAGCCCTTTCTCTACCTATATTCCCTATATCATCTCTCTTTGATTTAATGGTCAATAGTGTTTTCTTCTTCCTTGAGCAAAGTTTAGAGTTCTTTCCACTGTGCCATAGCTACTCCATATAAAGAATCTTGAGTTTAGATCCTCCCTCTGCTACCTTAGGCTGCCTGCTCCAAAAAGGGGAGGAGACAGGCATTTGTATAGAACTCCTGAGGCTGTTTCTCCGCTGGGCCAGTCATTGGCTCCTAGTGAATAGCATTTATGTTGTATCTTATTGCACTAGTGCTATGATCCTTATAACCCTGCTATTTCCATTGGATAGATAAAGATGATCAACTCTATGAATTTGTGTTCAGAATATGTAAAGCTTTATGACTAAAATGATTATGACTTGCCTGGTCATTTTATCATTTAGACAAATCAGAATATATTTCAGAAGGGCTTAATAGATGTTAAATGAGAAGCAGTTAGTTGATCCACTGAAAAGAGCAGCCTGGGGAGGAGCACAGGTGGAGCAAAGCAGGGTAGAGAGGTTGGGGAGATGCTTGGCTTCAGGCCATCTGAAGGCCTTCAGCTAGGAAAAGGATTAGATTTCTGTGACTTATGCCAAGAAGGTTAGAGTGACTAGACAGAGGGAATTTTGGTACAGTACAGAGAATATAGGAAGTGTTTAAAGTGAGACCAGATGGCCATTTTGGCTATTTAAATGATTTAAGCAACAGGTGGCAGATGGACTGGATCTTACATCTCTGTGCCTGTCAGTAATCTGGGAGCCTCTTAAAAATAGATTTTAGGGCTCATTCCCAGTATTAGTAACTCAGAGTCTCCTGGCGCAGGACCTAGGGGTGGTCTGCAATTAGAAAAGCTCCCCTGGTGAGTCTGTCATAGGCATCATATGACCCAGTAACTGGGAACCACCTAAGTAGGTGGTGCCTTTGAGAAGGGTTTTGCCAGCTGAGTGAATCTGTGCAGAACTACAGCTATGGCTCTGGTTCCTGACCAGGCACACTGTCTCTTGCATGCCCCTCATTTTTCCGCCCTTAGCACACCTCAGCACACTCTTTTGTTGTTGTCATTGTTTTGTTTATTTTGACTTTGGGTTTTTTGTTTGTTTTTTTGGGAGTGTTATTATGTAGTTTAAACTGGCCTTGAACTCACTATGTAATCTATGCTGGCCTCAGACTCTCAGTAATCCTCCTGTCTCAGCCTCCTGAGTGCTGAGATTACAGACACGCACAACCATGCCCAGCTTCCTCAGCACATTCTTGAAGGGCACTTGAAGCAGAGCGGGAGAGCAAAGGCACAGGTGGCTGGATGGAGCCTGCTGGACTGTGTCCCGTGACTCAGGTGTCTGTTGTGAGGGGATCCCACCCCCATATGCTGGAGAATTCACTGCTGTGCTCTCTGAAAGCCAGCTCCTCTTAAAAGAGCAGACAGACATAATTGGAGAGTGACTTGCTGAAACTGCAGCTTAGCCAATCCAGCTGTTCCAGTTCTGTGAAAGCCTTTCTTTTATAGGAAGTGAATGAGTCAGATGGGCTTGACTATGAAACCCATTATGAGGAAATATTTAAGTGTGCAACAAAATGGTGTTAGAGCCAAGAAAGGAAATGGTTATGAGTCTCAGCTCTGAGACACCACTGGGAAAGTGCTGCTCTACCAGAAGGGAGGAGGTTGTCTGTGATGATGAGTCCTTCAGTCCTTTAGCCCGGAGGTAATTTGATTGCTAAGTGTTTGAATTCCTATTATGTACAAGGCCTGGAGGGTAAAAGTGTGAATGAGGTGTAGTCTCTTGTTTTTGTAGAGCTCACAGAGGACTGGGAGAGAGGTATACAAATTGATGAGTAGGAAGATGGCTGTGGGAGCACTTAGTTGGTAGTGACTGATTTGTTGGGCCAAGGGAAAATGGTACCTCTTGTTAAGGGCTGAATGTAAGTTTTTCAGGAAAAGAGAGGAAAACAAACTTCAGAGACGGCTTCTAGGGACTAGCGTGTACAGAGCCATGGAAGTATAAAGTATAAATTCAGAATGATTATGATCTGGAGCCTACAATGAGAGGTGGAACTGGAAAGAGAGCTTCCTGGCAGACCAGGAAGACCCTAACTACCTGTTGGCAGGAGGCAGCCAAGAGAGAACTGTTAAGAGTGATGAGTCTTTGTCCACACTGGCACTGGTCTGGAGGCTGTTTGACTTGGACTGAGGGGCGATTGGAAAGATAGCCTCATGGTAATTATCCAGGCAGGAGATGTTAGGGGCCTGAAGTGAAGCAGTAGTAGTGGGGATAGAAAGGAGGGGACGATTTCAGTAGATATTTGAGAGAGAAAATGTGTGGGCATGTGTTTGAGCTGTTTGACAGTCGGAGATGATCAGACAGATCATCATAATTTGCAAGAGAATAATGGAAGAGACATGTGCCAAGAAGCAGACTTTCTCAGAATGCCAGGTCTCATATTAACTTGAACGTCCCCTCTTTACACAGGTTAGAAGTCCAAGCCGATGTCCAAAAGGAAATATTCCCCAAAGACACAGCCAGTCTTGGTGCAATTAGTGACAACGCAAGCACAAGAGCTATGGCCGGTTCCATAATCAGTTCCTACAACCCACAGGACAGGTATGTGACAGCCAGCTGCCAGGACAGGGTGCACTGGAACATGTCTGGTGGGCACTAGGTCTCCCAAAGCTCACTGCCTCCTGTCAGGGCTTTGTGGCCCCTCTAGTGAGATATGTTGTTTGCCCTGTGAATTCACTGAGCAAGCTCTTGGTCCTGGAGCATTTGGCATCTCTTGGTTCTTGCTCGCATTTGATATTTAGAAATTCCTTCCTTTCTTCCCTCCCTTCTCTCCATTCTCCACCTCCACCACCACAAGCCTGATCTTTCTTAGTTATTATAAGTGTGTCATTACTCACATGGACTTTAAAGGGCTAGATTGGTGTTCATTGGTGTCTGTGAGTCTAGAGTTTCTGCTCTCCCCTTACTTGATATGGTTCCGATAGCCTTTTTTTCTTTCATTTTGAGTAGTGTATCTGGCATGGTGGGATTGCAGTACTGCTTAACTGCAGGGATTCTGGCTTCTCATTGTGGCATAGTAATAGAAAGCTACAGGTCTTTCACTTTCCTATCTTGAGTAACATAGTATCTTAGGTTCTGACCCTCAGTTGACTTTTGGACACTCTTTTTAGATGTTTAAGGAGAGTTGCTGAGGGTGTGTGCACAGCACACACAGCACAACATGAGCTCTAGTCCATCTAGTCCACTGTTTGCCCATATTTTTAAACTTCCTAATTCTGAATCCACCAACTGCTTTTACCAACATAACATGACCCATGCATATGACTCAGCATAGTGGATTTTTGTCTCCACAGAGAATGCAACAACATGGAAATCCAAGTGGACATTGAAGCCAAACCAAGCCACTATCAGCTGGTGAGTGGAAGCAGTACAGAGGACTCACTCCATGTCCATGCTCAGATGGCAGAAAATGAAGAAGAAAGTAGTGGCGGAGGTGATGGTGGCAGTGAAGAGGATCCCCCCTGCAAACACCAAAGCTGTGAACCGAAAGACTGCCCACCAAGCAAAGCTTGGGACATCAGCCTGGCCCAGCCTGAGAGCATCCGCAGTGACCTAGAGAGCTCTGATACACAGTCAGACGATGTGCCAGACATCACCTCAGATGAGTGCGGCTCCCCCCACTCCCACACTGCAGTCTGCCCTTCCACCCCCAGAACCCAAGGTACACCGAGCCCAAGTGCCCACAAGAACCTCTCTGCCCTAGCCGAGGGACAGACTGTCTTGAAGTCAGAAGGTGCAGAAGCCAGAGTATGAGGTGGGATGGATGGTCCTGTTGTGAGAAGCACACTTGTAACTGCATCTTTTGGAATCCTTTTTTTTGGGGTGGGGGTGGGGGTGATGTGTTTTATGTGTTTTATCTTTGAAGATTCTCTGGTCAGGTTTTCCCCAGGGAAATTCTGAGAAATTTATAATTTCTTACCAGATAAAACATAAAAAATTTTACCCTTAGTCCCCCCCACACACCTTTTTTAGTTTTAATTTATTGGTTAAACTGATACTGGCATCTGTGAGGTGTGTCAAAGAGTGTACATATGTATGTGTGTATATTGTATGTATGCTAACATTACTGAAGGACACATTTTAATAAAGATATCTGTCGTAATTCAGCTCATCTCATTTTCCTTGGCTTGGATAGTCCAACAGAGCCGAGTGTTTGAAGCAGAACACTACATTTTTGACAGTCTTTAGACCTGAGTTTTTCTAGCCCCAAGGAAGAAGGATTGTATTCGGGTATAACTGCAGTGATGTAAATTATAAACCAGTGAATCTCCTAACATGATAGGAAGCAAAGCTAGGCTTCATTTGGACTGTGTAGTCAGACTGAGGAATTATTAGCTGAGTCAGTTGGTTTGGGAAGCAGTAGATTGAAAGGAACTTCATTTGCCCTCTGGAAGTAATTATGCTGTTTCCCTGTAAGAGCTTTCCTTACTCTGTTCTGCATTGTGATTGCTCTTAGTCCTATGGTGCAGAGGAGAAAGGCCTGGCAGTCCCAGTATCGCTGAGGAGTTGCCTCAGTGAACATTGTACAGTTACAGGTTAGGGATGAGAATAGTCTCACTGAAGGGAGGGACGCACTGATTCTGCATGATCACCCAGCAGTGACATAAGTCTAACTGTGCTGTAAAGTACATGCCCCTTGCTCCAAAAAGCTCCATTTTGCCAGCCTAATTTAAGAAAGAGGGAATAAGAAATCTAAGATTTATAATGAAAGGAAAAAGGATACCTGCCATCAAAAGCTCTGAATATATTTAATTTTATCTGACCTTACAGGTAAGAATTGAGCTAAATTAGTACTACTTGGGATTTTGGCACTGCCTAGAAGGTATTTCCTTAGAAATGAAAGTTCATATACAGAATAGCAGGAAAATTCAACAAAAAGTTCATGAGACCGGATGCAAGATTGCAAGTCTGTCTGTAACTTACTTTGTGATGGCGTGAATCATTTATTCTTTCATGTCCCAAATTTCCCCAACTCTTAAACCACATTAAGGAGCGTCTAGTGCCAGACTACCACCTTAACCCCAGGCCCAGAGGAAGAATTGAAAACATCTTTCCCTAAGGACCAGATGGCTTTCTGTTTCCTTTCACAGATGCACCTGCTCTTTGTCTTCCTGGCCTGTTTTGCTTCAGTGAGGATGAGGAGTCTGCACAACATCTCTTGGGTACTGCAGTCCAACTTAGCACATTTCCTTGGCCCTGGGACAGGAAATGCTTGTTAGTGGACTTTGGGTCTCTGGAAAAGAGTCCCCTAGATGGTGTTCCTGTATGGCAAAAGGAACCTGTTGGGAAAAGAGGCAGACAGGCTGGAGACCTGAAATGGAAATTATCCACGCAAGACTTGCATTTCTCTTGAAGCTTCATCAAGAGAGCAGTTAACTTGGATAAAATCAAAAAAGTCTGTTGGAGGGGCATAGTTCACAGCCAAATCTGTATTCCTTCTCTGGGCTTCACTTAATGCTTTGGGACTTGAGCGCTTTACTCTTGGAGTTTGTTTTCACTTAACCCAGATGGGATAATAAGCCTAATTATGAGGTGGTAAAGAATAAGATGATATACTAGAAATGCTTTTGGTAAAGGCCCATGTTTTTTTCCTCCTATAGGAATGAGAAGACATAAATTAAAGGAGATTCTGGATATCATGTAAGAAAGGAAGCCCAGAACACTGGCTAGAAAAAAACAAGTTTATTTGGATCCTTAGCAGCACTGTTGTCACCTCTAAGGCATTAGTAGCTGAAAAGGGTTCATCAGCACCACCTGGAGGAGAATATGAGCAATGCATTGAGAAAGTTAATTCGCTGCTGAGAAAATGGGGAGTTTAATTTCATGCAGACTTCATTCATTCTGAAATACCTACTCCTTTCAGCTATGGGATGCAGCAATGAGGAAAACTCAGAATTCTTGTCCCCTGGGAACTTACACTTTATGGAGTAAGACAATCAGACACACAGTCTTCATGAGGCCACATATGCTGAGGAAGAGAAGAGACTTATAGATGTGCTACTTAGAGAGGTACAGTTCATTAGGAACCTGAATGTGGCAAGGAAGAGAACTATGTGAACATCCAGGGAAAGTAAACGCTAGACATGAGGAATAATGCAGAAAGGTCTTTGATGAGACATCCTTGTTTTTGTTTTTGTTTTGTATTTAATATAACACTAGTAATCTGTATAGCTGGAACAAAGTGGGCAAAGGTGAGGAGAATAGTAGATTAAGTTGAAGAGGCATCTGGGGCCAAAATTGTGTAGATTAGGGAAACAACCCAGAAGGTAAGGAAACTCAGTTTCTCTGAGGCCAAAAGGAGAAATAATGTTCAGAGGTAGAGATGGGCTGCTAGCAGTCGACTTTCAAAGGGGTTGAAAGTAGAAACCCTACTTGGATATGCCAGTGGAAAGAAGCCCATGGATATAGTAAATCTGTACTTATTTACCTTGACCTAGTGTGTTATCTTGTACTGCAGAAGCTGGGGAGCTAAACCTTCATGTCTTAGATTTCCACTCTGAATTTGCTAATTGGATATACAAATGAGATGTAGAAGGAAGAAAGGTTTAGGCATTATGTTTAGCTGTATTGGTTATTGCTCCTGCAAGGTTTATAGACTTTAGGTTTCTCTTTAATGGTATTCCAGTGTCTGTTAGGTATCCCTTCAAGACACCTGAGAGGTGTCTTGATCCAGACAGCAGCTTGTGACATGTGTTCCTGTGGTCAATGTGTGTGCCTCCTGATTCCTTCTTTCCCTGTTAGTGCTACAGGTGGCAACTCTCATGGTAGGCCAAGTCTGGAAGTCTTCTAGAAGCCCAGCCTATAGCGCTCTCGGCCAGGCTTCCCAGCTCTTTTGTAATCATCTCATCTGCCTACATTGAGTCCTTTTCTACTTAAAATTGATGGGGGAGTTTTGTTTTCTGTATACTCTTGGTTCTAAAATAGGCTACTGGCAACAAGTCCTTTTAGATTACTTATGACTAAATTGGGTTTGAAAGAAATGAGGATCTTGTTGCCTTTGGAAAATGGTAAACCGGTAGGCAAAGGTTTGTATCTGTGATCACCTAAGATGCAACATCCTTTGGAGGAAAGACTGGCAGATCCAGTAGCTGTAAGAAATAAACCATTGGGCTGGGGATTTAGCTCAGTGGTTTAGCCACCTGCTGCGCAAGCACAAGGACCTGAGTTCGATCCCTGGTACCAAAAAAAAAAAAAAGAAAAGAAATAAACCATCATGTAAGAAACGAGGATTTAGATGACTACACAGCAAGGTTAAAAATAAGAAAGTGAAAGCTCAGTGTATCTTCAGCTTGCGGTAAGTACAGGAGATCCAAAAAGAGTTTTATCTCATAACTACAATGCTGTTGTACATAAAAATTAGATGGAACTTTGCTAGGTCTTTCATGAAAAAGGGCATTTTTGGGAAAGTGGGACTCTGAAGTGAAAAATGGGGACATTTGACAAGATTTGGATAAATCCTAGTGCTCTAAACCCATTTATTCCACTTAGCCCTTCTTCTCACTGTTGTGGCTGGTTCTGTTACTTGAAGACCCTCGGGTAGTTGCCTTGAAACGGAATTTGCTAGCACTTCTCATGACCCAGCCACTGTACCTCATAACTATCAGATCTGTAGTTATAGAGCCAATCCCAGTGCTTCTGGAAGGGAGTTTCATCTGGAAAAAGACTTATAGAAGGATTGCAACATTTTGCTAATTTGTGTCAGCAGAGAGTATGCATGGACTGCATTTTGGGTTTTGCTTTATTTTGTTTTGTTTGGAGAACAGGCTGGCCTTGAACTCACTACGTAGCCCAGGCTGGCCTTGAACTCACAGTGATCCTTCTGCCTCAGCCTCCCAAGTGCTGGAATCCAGGCTGGACTGGATTTTAAAGGTGTTAGATCAGGAAGAAAGGAACATAAATATATATTCTCATTATGGTTGAATTTATCAATATAAGCATACTAGAAATTCTGAATTTAATGTATTTATTGGCTTTAGCAGCTAAAACTGGATCTTGGCTGGTTAGTTAGATGAAACCTGGATTTAAAAGTGGCCTACACTCAAAGGTATTGGGATGCTAAAAATCCCTTAATGAGAAGAACCAAAGGCACAATGACAGAAGTGTTGATTGTAGATTTACTCTATATGTGACCTATTTATCTCCTAATTTTGCCCTCCAAAATTGCCTACATGCTGTTCCTTTCACCATGGAATTGGAAAGCACATAGATAAGGAAAACACCTTAGTCATTTCTGGGGTTTTGTGTTTGGTTTTTTCCACAATACTGGTGATGGAACTTGGGTCCTTACACATCCTAGGCAAGCAGTTTACTACTCAGCTACGTCACTGTCCTCCTTCTGTTGAAAAAAAATGCTGGAGTGTATATCCTTCCTAGGCTGAGAATGAACCTAAGAGACGTAATCTTTGAAATGGCATGAGTGAGGGCCAGGGATTTAGCTCAGTGGTTCCACTGCCTGCCCCGCAAGCGCAAGGACCCGAGTTTGATCCCCGGTACAAAAAAAAAAAAAAATTGACATTGGGCTGGGGATTTAGCTCAGTGGCACCGCGTCTGCCTTGCAAGCCCAAGATCCTGAGTTCAATCCCCGGTACCAAAAAGAAAAAAATACAGAAATAGCATGAGTGGAATGAGGTCATCCTAGAGTAGGGTACAACCTTAATCCAATATGATAGGTGTTGGTATAAAAAGGGGAAAATTGGACAGAAATATGCACATAGGCTGAATACTACAGGCAAGTGAAGCCCGAGGTCGGTGGGAAACCAAGGGAGGCCAAAGATTACCAGGAAAAACATGGAAGGGATTCTCCCTTACACCCCTCAGAAGAAACCATGTCCCAATAACACCTTGATGTAGGACTTCGAACTTCCAGAACTGAGACAACTTCTATTGTTTAAGCCCCCTAGCTTGTGCTACTTTGTCATAGCCATAGCAAACTAACACTTAAATGAAGATCAGGTGACAAAAGGGAGTTTGGGCCTGGATCTATGTCACATAGCTGCTCTGGTTATTCCCCAGTGCCTGTAGGTACAGTTGTAATAGATATACTTGGCAACTGGTAGAATCTTCACACCTACCCAAGAGTGAAAGCTATTGTAAAAACTCCAAAGGAAACCTCTGGAACCACTCTTTTCCACCAAAAGTCATAAACCATAAGCAATGGTGCATGAGGGAATCAGCTATTAGTGCATCGAAGACAAGATTCCAGAGTGATAGTTCCTATCTTAGCCACATTTAACCTCCCATGCAGGACTCTACTTGTATGTGTTATTGCCCTGGAGCCAGCAGGCCCTGGAATATTCTGTTTTCTCTATCCCAAAGAGCAGAAAACAAGCAGACCCCCATTGGGGTCAGCAGTGTATCCCACTGTCCTACATCTGGGTAATAGTGCTTCTCCAGCCCTGCTAAAATCTACACTGCAGGCACTTTACCACACATCTCTCAGAACATCACCATTCATCTTTCCAAGCCTAGTAAGCAAGAAGTAGCAGTTTATCCTGTAAATGCCTTGTAAAACATATTCTGGAGGATCGGAGATCATCTCTGTGGTAATTAAGGGAACCTCTAACTTTATAATAGTTTTTAGGGATGCAGAGCAGTGTCTGGTACATGGCAGTACCATCTCAAGTGAAGGTCGGGTTTACAGCCCTCACTACTGAGACATTCTCACGTACAACGTCTGGTTATGCTGCACTGACTTGTTCACCAAGTAACCAGGAAGGCTACCAGGCTTGAGCCCAGAGAAGGAACACTCCCCAACTGATACAGGCTGCAGCATACATGGTTTAGGGTTTATGACCAAGTAGACCAACCCAGTGATGTGTGAAGACCCTTTGGTAGGTGAGGATGCTATAAGCATGGTGTCACAACCTCCCACAAAGAAACCCAGCATAGAGGCTTAAGATTTTGGAATCAAGCCATGCCATTTTGAGCAATAGCTTTCTCCTTTAGAAGCTGGTATTCACTACTAAACTCTGCTCCATGCTCTGGGGGAATAAGCTGGCCACTCGATAGCAGTTGAATTACATCAGATCACTCCCATCACAGAGAATGCAGGATAGTGATTGTTAAGATGGTAGTTTCCAGAGCCAGAATGCCTGGGTTGGAATTCCATCTCCACCATTGGAGTAGCTTATGACTCTGGACAAATAAATCTCTCAATCTCATGTTCTTCATTTGAGATCATGAGGATTAAATGAACACATAACACCAGACCTAGCATTATTTTTTATGTTGATTATTGTCACCCTTGTCATTGTTATTGTCCATGAATTTACTAAATGCCTTTCATTCATCATGTGTTATTTCACACAACACTGCCTCTCAGGTGAGGCACGGGGCTAAGATCCATGGGATCATCCCAAAGCACCTGGCCTCATGGAGCAGTCAGATGGCTTAGTAAAGACTCACCTGTGGCACCGTGGAAGTTCTGAACTAAACGACTAAGATGTGGGACTGTTCTTCCCATCAACAGACTATGTGGGGCTAGGAGCCAAGGAGTGTAAATGGGACAAGGGAGTGCCTTACAAATAGTCCTAATAACTCAAAATTTTTATTCCTTGTCCCTGTGACTTCAGTCTTTCTTAGTTTAGAAGTCTCAATAACTACAGGAGAAATACTTTGATTAGGGCAAACAATGAGCCCTTTAAAATCAGCCTATCCCTCATTTAACGAAAACTGAGGCATATTGAGGAAGACAAAAACCACAAAACTGAGTGTCTACAGCTCCATCAGCCCAGCACACCTAAACTGATCTTATTTCATGAAGTCACCACAATCTAGGTCACATAACTGCAATAAGGCCAGCCCTGCCAACCTTACTGTGGCTGACTGGGCCAAATGCTGTGTTAACAAGCTAGATGTGATGGAAGCCACCACCTGTGTGGGACTATCTGGTAGGGGGGATACAAATCCCAGGGCAAACCCAGAGGCCATGGTGCCAGACACAAGTCTATTGTTATTCCTCTGCTCCAGGGACCTGCTTGGGCTGCTGACAGCTTTCCCTGATAACCTTGCTCCATCTGGGTCCTTACTGTGGCCCCTATCACGGAAAGGCATCTGAGCCTAGACCTTTCTTACACACCTGAAGAAGCTCACAAATATCCCCACTGGTTCTGATTATACAGCCAGACTGAAAGAGAGGCAGGTCACAGACCAAGCGCTGTAATTCCAGACATCACACTCTTCCCACTCTGACATCGCTGTCTCCTGCACAGAAAGAGGACTTCGTGGGTGGACAGCAACAATGTGCGAATGCAGCTGACACTGTGGTTTTGTTGTGAGGCCTGAGTTGTCATCAGAAGGATGATTAGCAAGGGTGAAGGACAATCCTGCACCAGAGATGCCACTTAAGTCCCCCTTTGGGGTCTACCCGTGGGCACAATTTGGACACAGATCTGGGTACGGCTCCCTGCTTTCCACCCCTCAGGCACCTGCCTTTAAGGACATTCATTCACTACTCACTGGCTGCTGGCAGCTGCTCTGTTGCAGGCTTAGTCTATATGTTTCTGCTTTAACACAATACTGGAGACTGGATAAATGTATAAAGAACAGAGATTTATTTCTCACAGTTCTGGAAACTGCGAAGTCCCAAGGTTGAGGGGCCCACATCTGGCGGGACTTCCTTGCTATATCATCCTTTGGTAGGTAGAAGAGAAAGCCAGCACGATCATGAGCAAGCACTGGATTCAAGCATAATCTCAGACCTGCAGCCTCCAATCTTTTATAATCAGCATTAATCCACACATGAAGGTGGAGCCCACAGGACCTAAACACCTCCCATTAGGCCCCAGTTCCCAACACTGTTGCACTGGAGATTAAATTTCCAACGCAAGCTTTTTGGGGAACACATTTAAATCATAGCACAGACCCTTGGCTGGGGCACAGAAAGAAACTGATAACCCACAGATAGCAAGCCAGGCAGTGAGGCTGGGGAAATCACCTGTGAAAAATGGCACTGAAAATTCTAAGTGCAAATGAGAGAAGAATCAGCTTTCTCTTCTCAGCCTTTAACCAGCAAAGGCAGGGAGATGAGCAGCCAGAGAGGGGAGGAAAACAGAAGCCAAGGAGTGGCATGGTTGGGGCTGCAAAAACAAGTCTGGTCAGCTGACACCAGACGGGTCAGGGCAGGTGAGGGATGGATTTGTCACATGGAAAGTAACTGGTGACTTCACAGGCAGCAATTTCAGGAGACAAGAGCATAGAAAATTGATTGCATTCTGCTGAGGAGTGAGTGGG